ACCAGAAAGCCAAGGAATCTGTATAAGATGCTATTAAGGGGGTCAACCATTCCGCAGGGAAGCAAGATTTGGTAGAGAACAGGTAAAAAGCAGTGATTAGGAAAAAAAATATAACTGGAGATATTTATACCTCTGTTTAGTTGAGTTCTCCTGATAAAACTTTTTACAAAAGACAGATCCAGAAAGTTAACTGAGTGGGGATAGAGCATTTAATCACAGAGTACAAAGCTTGGAAGGGGCTTCAGAAATTATCAAATCAAATCTGCTCATTTTAAAAATTGGAAACTAAGCCCCTTTGCCTCCAAAAGAAGCTTAAGATCTCAAAGATAATAGAAGTGGCTGTGGAGGAAAGATTCAAATTTCTCATTTCTACTTATATTCTCTTTCCTCTGTGATACACTATCACCAAAGGGTGACATGATAAAAAGTTTGGGGAAAACAGTACTTATAGGAAGGAATAGGAACAGAGATACTGGAGGCAGGAAGACTAGTTGAGAAGGAACAGCAGAAATTAAAGCATGTAACTTAGGGAAAGCAGTTTGGCAATTCTTATGAATGAGAATGAGTTACAATAGCCATCAAATAAAAGCATTCGAACATCCAGTGACTCATTTAGTGTAAACCTGAGCTGTGAATGAGCAAAGTGAAAAAGAGCCTTCACACTTGCAAAGGTACAAGAGAGGTAAAAAGAAAATTTACCTTATTAAATTGTCTGATGTTAACAGCACTATGTGAGGATCTAGCATTTCACTTGGATACCAGGCAGCATGCTTTAGAGTCAGAGAGGTAGAACTGGTGAAAAATCTCTCAGCAATTGGAGTGGTGCTAAAATAAAGATAACAAATTTCTCAAAAATATTTTTAGAACATGGATGAAACAATAATCTATTTTAATATTCACTGCTTTTCTTTCCTTCAAATTTTTCTGTTAAATCTTGAGGAGACAGCATTCAAAGCACTTATTCAATCAATATTACAGAATTGAAATAAAAGCATTTTCTCAATTGTAGCATATTTTATCAGTGCTTTACAAACATTTTTCAAAACAGTATCTGATCTGATCTTTTTATTAGTAAGAAATTATCATTATTATTTTGAAATTTAGGAATCAGATCTAGAAAATATACAAAGGGATTTCACTTATATACTATAGAGCTAATAAAAGGTCTCCACCTTATATTCTTTTCAGTAATCATTCAGATCTTCATTTTTCTTTATTTTTTCAAAAAGAAATTATATATAAAAATAAACATCTAAGCAAACTTCTGGCTCCTAGACAATATGTGCTTTTTAAAGATCATATTTCTAACAAATTCAAAACATAGCCTAACTTCCAATAAGACAGAAATGTGACAATTCAAGCAGAATAAAAGAATAACGATACATATACTATAAGCATTCATATCACAGAAGCCAGTCTGAAGACCATAAGGAATGGTCAGGTTCAACAGTAACATACTAACCATACTTTAAGAATCCCTGATATTGAATAATTCTCTGTACGTATAACAAATTATGTAGACATACAACTTACCTACAATTCACTGTTGCTTTTCCACCTTCAAATTCAGAATTCTTCCCCCATCTTTTAGGTAATTCTAATACCATAAGTCCTTTTATTCCGATGAGTGCTACATGATGTTGGGTTGGACTTAACAAGACTTGATAAATTTCAAAAAGAGGTGGATTTATGCAAAGTAATCTCTGAAAATTAAAGCAAATTGGTCAACATAGTTATTTTTAATGTAAATATACATGGTAGACATTTGAAACCACTATAATGCTCTAATTTTCTATAATTATAGGACAACAAAGCATTCCGGGTAAGTACCAACACTTGGGTTGATGAAACATTTTTAGTCATTTAGACTGAAATAATAAACAAATGCATCAGATTTCCCCACTTTATGATAATTAAAGACTATTACACCTAATTTTTCAAGCCTCAACCTACACCTACAACTCCAGTTTCAAATTCCACCATTCCCCACTTGTTCTTTACACCAATCAGATGAATCTGTATTTCTGGGAAACCATGATTATGCCTCTTTGTTTTGGTGCAACCGTTCCTCTTGCTACAGTGCCACTTTTCTTATTAGCCAGCTAACAAGACTTAACACATTCTCAGAAACTGGGCTTCTATGCCTTTTTCTCCCCAAGAAAATATTCCTGATCTTATGAGCAAGAATAAATGTATCTTTTCTGTAGTTTCACAGTTCCTTCTGGATAATTCCACTATTCTGCATTCTAACTGACTTTTTTACTTGCTCAATTCACACATATAACTATGGATTACTTGAAATGTGCCACTCTTCTCTGTATCCTAGCTTAGCATGTGGCACATCATAGACTTTCAATATGTGCTTAGTGCAACTTACGAGACCATGTCTCAAAATAAAATAAAAACTGGGCTCAGGATATGATTCAGTGATTAAGCACCCCCTGGGTTCAATCCCCAGTACCCCTCCAATATATATATGTGTGTGTGTGTATATATATATGCGTGTGTGTATATATGTGTGTGTGTGTGTATTTAATGAGTAGACAAAATAAACTCAGAAGTATTAATAAATAACTATTATAATACAATAAAATGGTTTCAAGAACTTTTGCAGCAAGCAGAATGCTGCTTTAATGCTGATATAGAAAAGATGAGACACGATATTTTAAGGGGGTTCCAATAAGTTATTTGTCTTGGTATATGTCCTCAAAAAATTTACTTTTTCTATTGGTACTTTCCATTTTTTCTCTCATAACTACCTCAGATCCCCATTTTCTTTCTACTTTCAGTTATAAAATTATGAGACTGCCAATATGTCACCTTTTTTATGTTTAGAGAAACATCCTAAGTCAAAATCATTTTAGATCAGACTGTTCCAAAATATGAGACTTCTACTTATTGTTATGGATGTCTGTAAGCATGTGTCTTTTAGCTGCCTTTGCTGTTTCTAAACACATTGACTTTTTTTCTCATCAGAGGTTCTTTCCTTCTGTTCTCTATATTCAATCCCCAACTTCTTTCTACTTGATTTTGACTGAAACTCAAACCAAATAGAGGATTGAAACCTTGCTTCTGATACATATCTGATCACATTAGTTTATTTGTAACAATCCCAGAAACTAAGTTTTTGTTATTGTTGTTCTTAAAGTCACTACTCATGCTTTTATTAATATTCAATGTTATAATGCATGATAACTGCTTTCTTTTTAACCTTGAGTTTTTGAGATTCTAGAAGTCTGAAGGTTTTGAAGATGGTCACTAGTATTTACTGAGAGCTTACATATTCCAGGCACTGTCATGCGCTGGGGAATCAAAAATGAGTTAGGGTAGATACACACACACACAAATACACACACTCCCAATTTTGTGGTCTAGAAAGAAGACAATAAATAAATAATTTTAAATAGTTTACTGTGCAAAATGCTACATAGCATATAGAATGCTATGATAATACTGTGTGCTGGATCCAGATGCAATGGTGTGCACCTGTGGTCCCAGCTACTTGGGAAGCTGAGAGGATCATCTGAGACCAGGAATTGAGGGCCAGCCTGTGCAACATACAAAGTCCCCATCTCTTAAAAAAGAGGGTAAAGAAAAAAGAAAAGAAAAAAATTGGGTGCTGAACACCTAATAATTATTCTTAACTTAAGTTTTACAGTAAACAGATTCTAGACTCTTGACTTTGTTTGAAAACTGCAGAAGCATTAGTAGTAGCTTGTTAAAATCAAATCACCTTTCAAAAAGAATTAGTCCATGGCACGTAACAGATGTTATTCACTAAAATGGTTGCCACACTTACTTTTAAAATGAAAAAGGAGGGCCAATTTCCTACAAATAAACATCTACACAAAGCGATGTTTGATCCCTGCAAGTCTGGCATACTTTCCGATCACACTCACTTTCACGAGCTACTGGCGATACCAAAAATTTCCAATTTGGGGAATGAACTAATTTACTAAAAGGAAATAATAATTAAAAATTAGTTCCTCCATCTCAGGCTTGAAACTTGCTTTCAACTCCACTATCTTGGCAATGCTCACAACCCAAGAGAAAGTTATGATTATACCCATTTGAGTGTCACGACATAAAATACGGTTCTCTAGAACAACCTCTAAAAATAGCCACTCCGCCACACATTCTCTATCCCTTTACCCTACTGGTTTTCTTCAGAGTACTTAACCATCACCGACGTTTTATTAAGTATTCCACGGTCCTCCCCTTCCTCCCAGACCCCCGGAACACAAGCACCGAACAGCGTGAGTTCCGCCAAGTGTCGGGCAGGGTAGGAGTCAATAAACATGCTGGATAGAAAGGGCTTTTCCGCTTGAAGTGGGTTGTCCCCGAACAGCACAGCACACCCACCAGAAGATGAAAAACAGCCAAGATGAGAACGAAACACAAAAACAAGTTCAGATCCCGACCGAGGGTCTCGTTCAAGATGGCCAGGCCGTACCTGGTACTGGGAGAGCGAAGGCTCCTCACTACCACCGACGAGGCCTCGGAGGCGAACCACTAAGAAGGAACTGCCTTCTCCGTCCCACAGGAAGAGCTCTCCGCCGAGGCCGAAGATCAGGTTTCTCGTCAGCAACTGCGGCGGCAAAGGCGGCGATGAGGGCAATGATGAAGAAGCCGGTTTCTCAGAGTCTGTTGGGCTTTGGTTTTTCAGTCCCTCCCGGAGCCGCAAAAACACAACGTGATTAGGAAGCCAGGTCTGCCACAGATCACCGTCGCCTACCGGCCCCTCGGCAGTCGCCATCTTGACCCAACTGCTTTCCTCGCTACAGTTGCTTGACCCGCCGCTGAGCACAGCCTATCCTCGGCTAGCCATCCATTGCTTCAGCCAATCATCGAACAGGAAGCCCAGAAACACGACTTTAGCGCTAGGGGCGGGACTTAGGAGAACTAGCCTATCAAGCAAGGGCATCTTCAAGGGCAAGCCAATTGCCAGGTTGGTATTCATTAAAAAGTCAAAGTGGGCGGGCCAAGGTGAATAGAACAGTGCTTCTTTAGAGTCAGCCTTGGTTCTCTGCTCGGAATCTAATACCTAAGGTAAAGACGGAGGTCTGCATATGTCATTGCATCTCGAACACCTCCATACGGGTAAACCCAGGCATCCAGAACTTTCCTTCAGGACTTACCGCTCTTAGTCCAGATTGGCTTGACTTCATAAACGACACTTCTTTATCCACCTACCTACCCTTAGGTGGCCCAAATCAGTCTCGTGTGGGGCTGATCTGTAAAACACTTCCCAGAATTCCTTGCTATCCACGCGCGATCTTCTACAGAAACTATAACTCCCAGAGGTCTATGCGCGTTCTCAGGGGCGGGGCAATTGGCAGCGACTCCCTCTAAGGGATGGCAGAACCTGCTGGATCTCGGCGACGCTCGCTGTACAAACAGGTGGGCTCGGCGTCCTGGAAAGAGGCTTTCAGGCAGGTGAGTGTGGGGTTTGGGCCATGGTCACTCCTTGAATCCATCCCAAGGGCCGTTGTCCTCTGTGCCTTCAACTCTTCAATGCTCTATGAGGCAGGTGCCTAGAGACCCTGGCCAGTGGAGGTGGACCCGGAACCCAAACTTCCTGCTGTTTCCTGGGTCTTGGTCACCGCCTGCCCCTTCCCGGGTTTTTGGCCCGACGGGTGTGGGATTACCCTGTGTGGGCTCAGACTCTCTAAGCTTTGCTTTTTGAATTCTGGCCAGTTTCAAAACTTGAAGTGTGATCGTGATCGCACTCTCCTCACCTCTACAATAACACCATCCCCTATTATTAATTGGACACGGAAAGAAGCACTTTGTATAGTTTTGACATGTGAGGTAGAAATTGTTTTTATTCTAGAGAGGAGTCAGAAGAGTTTGTTGCCAAGTTTGTATTGTTAACTCTCCTCAGTTCTGTCCTCTTCTTTAGACAACATAGTCCCTAGTAAGATACTGCCTCTCCAAGTGTGTATATTCCAGGAAAATAATCTGATATTAGAAAAATTTTGTTTCTCAACCGTGGCTGTTGACATTTTGAGAGAGAGAGTTTTTATTGTGTAGGGCTGTTCTGTACTTTGTAAAATTTTTAAATGTAGTATCCCTGGCCTCTAGCCCATTAAATATTATTATGGTCTTACCACAAGAGTTGTGACAACCAAAAATATCACCCAGGCTTTGTCACATGTACCCTGGTGAATAAAATCACCTTGAGTTGAGAAACATTGTTACCATAGCCACCTCTAAAGTAGCAAGAATTTGAAAGCAATATAAATGTCCTCTAATAGGATAGTAAATAAGATATTATGCACCCAATCGTTAAGGATAACATTAAATTATTCTAGGTCAGTGGTTCCTAAATACTAGATTGTAGACCTGCTACATACTTGGCATTGAAGATAGAATATGAAATATGGTGATCTGGAAATATGTGAACAAAGTATTATAATTTTACTCATCTACATGCGATTAAGGACTGGACAAGGATATGCAAAAATAACAGTAGTTAGGAGTATAATGGAAATTTTGTGTCTATAAATTTTCTTTAACATTTTGTCAAGTAATCTGAGGTGTTTTTTTTTTTTTTTTATGGAATTGATTTCCCCCCATCTTGCTGCTTTTTCCAAGGGATGCCTGGAGAGAATGAGAAACAGCCGGGACAGGCTCCTGAACAGTTACCGCCAGATTGGGAGCAGTATGCCAGGGAGAGGTCAGAATGCCCTTCTAGTGCAAGAGGTGATGGAAGAAGAATGGAAGTCTTTGCAGTCAAGCGAGTACTGTCCAGAGGCTTTGGCTCAGGTCAGGCTTGGATAAGTGTTTTCAGAGAAGGAGTTGCACCATGAAGAAATCCTAGTGTCTTCTTTGTACCTATTTATGCATTCCCTCTAAACCCACTGACTCTCCAACCCCTAATTTGAATTCTAACAGCCTTTGATCCAGGCTCTTCTGCCTTTAACATTAAATTATTCTAGGTCAGTGGTTCCTAAATACTAGACTGTAGACCTGCTATATACTTGCAACATAATCACTTATGAAACTGTAAAGAAATTTTTGTCTCCACTCTTGGGAATTTTGATTAATTAGGCATGAACTAGGAATTTGACTTCTTAAAAGTCTCTAGGAACATTCTGATTACAGTCTCAGCCAAAGTTGGAAACTGAATATGAATAGGAAATCGTTTATGGTGTATCAGGAAGAGTACTAGATTGGAGGTCAGGAGTTCAGGAATCCTAATTCTGGTTTTGCTACTGACTCTTAACTTCACTCTCTTTGAGCTTTAGCTTTTACATTTATAAAATGAAGAAAATAATGTCAATATTGTAAGGACTATATGAAAAAAACTCCGAAACTGCTTTGAAACTATCAAGGCACTATATTATAGGAAGGCACTGTTCAGTGGCTTGCCTTACATCACCACAGTTACTACTCATGATAATCCTCTTGGGTGGGTTTTATTCCCACTTTACAGAGGTCAAAACTGAGGCTTATAAAGACTAAGAACTCTTCCTGGTTATATAACCTTGGGAGAACATATATTTAACTACAGCCCTATACTGTCTGCCCCAAATTTGACAGTGTTATTTTATCACTGGCTAGTTTGATCATTTGTCAATGACTTAACATGACCACATTACCCCGTTTTCAGCATAGTCTGTTGGAGGACTGGACTGATTTTTCAGGTAAATCTGTTTTCTTATTTTGTTTTTGGTACTAGAGATTGAAGCCAGGGGCACTTAACCACTAAACTACATTCTGACCCCTTTTTATTTATCTCCTAAGTGGCTTAGGACCTCTCTATGCTGAGACTGGCCTTGAACTTGTGATCCTCTTGCCTCAGCCTTCTAAATTTCTGGGCTTATAGGCATGTGCCACCATGCCCAGCAAATCTGGGTTCTTAAGCCAGCCTCTAAGTATGAATTACTGTTGGGTTTGGGGACAGATTAATAATTCAAATTTAAGATGATTCCACTTTCTTTTATAGTTGAGCTTGCCAATGGACTTGGCTGTGCTAGAGGAAATCCAGCAGGAGCTGATTGATCAAGGTAACCCTAGGCAGTGGTCCTTCCTGTATTTAACCACTCTTAGTACTGGCCTTTTCTATCCCTATCTTCAGTCAAGTGTCTAGAATTCTTTGGTTTTACTCTGAATTTTTGACTGTCTGTCTTCCTAATAATAAGAATCTCTAGGGTTCTGGGCTTTGCTGTTTTGTGCTAACAACTTTTTTTCATTCTATGGTATTGCTTTCCCTTTATCTACCCTGTAAGATCTTATTATATTAGAAAGTGGTGTTCTCACACAGATTGTACAATTAATGAATCAGTGGAGCTGGGAAGCAAAATTTTGTGAATCCACTTCCCACATTTATTCTGTCCTGCTCTTTAATAGGTTTAGCCAGGTGCAGTGTCCTGAACCTATGGTTCCATCTACTCCAGAGGCTGAGATGGGAGGATTGCTTGGGCCCAAGACTTTGAGGCCAGCCAGCCTGGGCAATATAGTAAGACTCCTCATTTAAAAAATAAAACAAAGAAAAAATGGTTAATAGTAAACATGTCACTTTACAGGATGCAGTGGAGTGGTGCATGGTCATATCCCTTGCTTTACCCAATTTAAATGCCATCTCTCTCATCCATTCTTTATTGATTCCCCAGGATCTTGTGAACATTACTCCTTGAGATGTCATAGCATTATGGAGAATACATAATTTTAGCACCTCATATAATTGTCTTTTATTCCATATAGTCTTATCTTGACTAGGTTTCATCTTTATCATCTGTAAAATAGAGATGATAGGCCTGCCCTGTAAGTTTGTCATAAGGCTTAAATAATATGTGTAGAGAACTTAGAGCAATGTCTGACATGCAGAAAGCTTTCAGTAATCAGTAGCTATTATTATGGTAATGCATGAGCACACATTCTTGAACCAGACCGTAAAGAGACATTTCTCAGCTTTACCACTTATAAATTGTGTGGAACTGAGCAAAGTAATTAATTTTCCCATGCCTCAGTTTCTTCACCTTTGAAATAAAGATATTTATAGTGAAGAAACTAATATATGTAAAGGATTTAAGCAGCATTTAAAGCATAGTAAGTGCTCTGCAAAAGATAGCTGTTATGATTGACTTCAGTTGGATTGTGAAGTTCTTAAAGTTTAGTTATCTTCTTTTTGTAATTGATTCTCTCTTCCCCCTGCCTACAGAACCTGTCTGAATGATGAAACATATGACCCAGTAAATCTTTCTTTCAGAGTATATTTAACTAAAAATTCTAAAATGATAAGGTTTTACTGTGCTGTGCTACCGTCAGCCAGTTGGAACATTCTAAAACAGGGGTCAGCAACCTTTCTATAAAAGGCCAGCTATCCCAAGTACTCTCTACTGTTGTGATGGAAAAGCAGTTACAGACAGTATGTAAACAAATGAGCACAGCCGTAGTTGGTTGCTTCTGTGTCTAAAGTCTGGATTGTGAGTTCATCAAGGGCAGAGCAATCTTTTTTATCTCTGTGCCCCTGTGACTAGCACACATTAGGTACTGTTGTACTTTTGCTGAATCAATCAACCCAGATTCTGAACAACATAGGTTCTGAGTACTCAGCCATTGAGAAACTGATCACTTGAGGCTTAACAGTGAGCCTAATGTCAGAAGTAAATGCTCTGTAAGTATCAGCTTTCTCCATTTGCTCTTGAGACTCCGACATTTCACACCTTTACTCCTGTGGCCTGTAGAGATATGTGAAAATTATCTCCTTGTCCCTTAGCCTACTTTATCTCCTGTGCTCACAAGGAGGTGGTAGATGGGGGCTGCGGAGATCCAACAAGATGTTAGCCTGAGTTTTGCCTGAATCTTTACCTTAGGTGGAAGAGACTTTTGAAGGTGAAACCTGGCATTAAATACAGGACATCCCCGGGAAAACATGGTGAGGCACTCCTGCTGCCTTTTGCCTTGCAGAACAGTCCATTATCAGCGAGTATGAGAAGAGCTTGCAGTTTGATGAACAGTATCTCAGCATCATGCTGGCTGAGTGGGAAGCGAAGCCCCTCATTTGTCCTGTTTGTACAAAGTAAGAGTCTTCAAATTTTTTAGCATTATTGGTTCCCATCCCTCATTCCAAGGTGAGTGGGATCCCCCTCCCCGCCAAAAATTTGTTGCTTGAGAAGTTCGGAGGGCCCAGGTCTGACCACCATGATAATAGAAGATCCTAATTCTGATTCTAGGTACAACCTGAGAATAACAAATGGTGTGGTTGTGTGTCAATGTGGCCTGTACATCCCATCTCATGTAAGTATTCCACATAAAGGTTTTGTGCTATCTCTTTCCAAATACATCTGTTTTTTAAAGAACCTTCAGTCATGGGCTGAAGCTTATATACACATCTCTTCCTGATTTTGTGTTCAGCAACACCAGATTGGTAGCCTCACATCAGCCATGGGAAGAACATATGCAGCATGGAAATTGGCAAACACTTCATACAAATCAGGGCTTTTGTCCCCTTCTCCCCCACCCCGTAGGCAGTGTGTCTCCCACCACTGCTTCCAGTCTATAGAGTGATCACAGAGGTTTGGAAACACTTGTCTCTGATCTTCCATAGAAAGTTTCTGTATATGAAGACACCAATATTTAGAATGTAAACCTCAGTAACCTTAAAATGCATAAGGAACCCTCTTTTCAGACATGCTGGGGCAGCAAGTTTGCCAGTTCATTGAGCAGTTGCTTAAAATGGCAAATTATAAAAATGAATAATTTTATAGTGAGTTCCTAACAACTTTGAAAACAACTCCTATATTGCTTAGTCCAAAGTTGTACAGTTTCATCCCTTTGAAGTTGATCAAGAAGCTGAATATAGAACTTTAGGATTTTTCTTTTACTTAACAGATTTTTTTTAAACAACTTATCCTTTTGAATGTTTCCTAAACTCTATTATCATAAAAATAAAACTTTATTTTCATACAGTATCATTAGTTTACATAAATAAAATCTCAGAGATACAGTAGCAAGTTCAGTTAGCACAAATAGATCTGGGAGCAGACACTGCTGATTCTTAGTAAGAATACACTGAGCCAGTGGCTGCAGAAGCAGGTTGTTAGAAAGTAGCCTGCTCTTCCTGAATGTTCCTGCTGTGAGTGGCAGTCAGTGTTTTGAAGACCGAATGGATAGTACTGGAGAGGCGGTTAAATACGGAGATCTTCGCACAGTCTTAGGCCCAGGACTGTCTTTAAAGCTTCAAGGAATCAATCCAATCACAGCAATTGAGCTAGAGTTACATTGGTTGGCATGAGGAATAATTATTTTGAACCTGTTGACAATCACGTAACTTAGTTGCAGTTGAATTTTATTTTTCAGTCTCCAGAATTGTCAGAACAGAAGCTTCGTACCTATTTAGAAGATAGTGTAAATGACCACAGTACACATTGTCCCCATACCCCTGAATTTTCAGTCACTGATGGAACAGAAGAAAAGCCCAGTCTTCTCATGTACTGTCTGGTAAGCTTCCCATGGGACCCAGTGGTAAGAGCAGATCAGCAGTTTCTTTTATTCCCATTTTGGTGGAAATAATCTTTAGAGACAGGTAAATGTTTAATGGTTTATTTTTTGAAGCATTTACTTCATAGAAAGTGAAGTTAACTTCACCTAAAAGATCAGTCATTCATTTTCATTTGCTGAAAAGCAAAGAGGCAGCCTAGGATCATGGTGTCCAGCTGCACTGTCTGCTCGTTAGATCTGCTTCAGTGGTCTTGGACTCCTCAGATCAGGTCACGGTCATAAAACCCAGGTAGCCATCCTGGCACCACCTCTGCAAATGGATATGGGACAAGAAGCACAGCACAGCAGCATAAGGCTAGTCTCTCAACAAGAATCTTCATAGAGGTACAAGGTCAGATTCTAGGTCCCTAAGTAGTAACTCATGTGTGAGGGACAGGACTCTAAGTAGGTATGGGTGTCATTTGTCTTGAAACCTTAAGCTTCTTATAAGAACTAGTGTCTCTTACAGTAATCAATGTAATGAAGTAGTCATCACTATGACATGTTATAGCTTCTAGGCCTCCCGGCAAGGGGAACTTCGGGATTAGTGAACACTACAGCATGCCAGATACTCAGTAAAACCTAACCCTTCAGTTAGGCCAGTCTTTTATGGGCTCCCAACTGTACCTGATACCATGAGCCCTCTTAATGCTGCTGCACGTGGTGAGCCACTCTGAATGACCATGCCTTCCAGTCCTGAAGCATGAGGCTCTGACCAATCACAAGGCATGGCTCCAGGTGTAGGGGTCACCTGCTACCTGCAGGGATTGAGCTATTCCTTTGTAATCCTACCCCTTACCTCATTTGCATGGCTTTTTCACAATAAAAAAGGGTTCAGAACTTTGCTCCTCTCTCTTTCCATGGACCCCTAAGGTCAGAGGAGCCATCACAGGACCCAAAGAAAAAGGTATTTCTGTCTCTGTAATTATTTCATTTTGCACAGCCCAGTTCACCTAGAGTGTGTAGTTGTGAAATGTGAGGGCTGCAGTTACCTGTTGATGTCTTTTGTCCTTTAGGGCAAGGATCATACCTTTATTTTACTCCTAATGCCTAGCATCTAAATAGGTGCTTAATCTTTATATAAATGGAGGAAGAAGAGCTGAAGAGGCACGGGTCAGATGGCCTTAACTTTTGCCTTCTTAGGATAATGAACTAGTGAGTCACCTGCACAGATGATTGTAGTAGCTCCTGGAGTATGAAAGTCTCAGGCCAAATGCTAGAGAGATAAGAATGACAGTTAAAAGAGGAAACCAGCCAGGACAGTGGCATGTCCCTAGAATTCCAGCTACTCAGCACGCTAAGGCAAGATCCTTGAGCCTAGGAGTTCAAGACCAACCTGGGCTACTTATTGAGACTCTTTTGTCTCCAAAAAACAAAAAAAGCAAAAAGATTGCCTAATTACTGAATATACATCTGTGCCTCTCCCTGGATTTGTAGATCTAGTGAGATCAGGCTATAGGGCCATTTAGCATAGATGGGGATGAGGTAGAAGTAAATAGGTGTGGGTAGAAAAGATGGTGGTCTATGACAAGGGCTTGGACTGAGATATGAAAATGTGAAACTGGCCAGGGGATGGAATGTTCCAAGCTATCTGTTAGGGTTATAGCATCTTTCAGAAAAAGCCAAATATATTCTCTATGGAGTCAAGTAAAGGACAGATGTGATTCCTTAGCGTAGTGGTGGGGCCAAGCCAGCGAGGAATGTTCACTGATCATATTATGGGATATCGAGGGAAGGCTTGTGGGATTACGATTGAATTTATGCTAACTTGTTTTCTGTTTAAATTTAGGTTTGTGATACATGGGCTGTGATCCTCTAGAGCCAACCTGGACTCATGTCAAATCCTCAAATCCTGTAAGAGGATTTCCTGTATATACAGATCTTTTACTTAGAATTTATCTTTTATTAAAATTTTTCAAACATGTCTGTTTTGGTGTTTTGATGCAGGTTGAAGGTGAAGAAATAGAAAAGACAAACTTCCTTGGAGGAGATCAAAGAATTTTATTGTCCATCATTATGTTATACAAAAATCTAGAAATAATAGTTTGTACAGGAAAACTACCAAATGAATAGTAAATGAGAGCATGATAGCAATAATTTAAATTTGCTTATTTTTCCCCCATGATGTTAGGATTATAACCACTTCAAAGCACATAGTCTGGTGTCAGGGTAGTTTTTGTTCACTGGTCAAAGCTCACCATAATATTAAGGCCTTCAAGTGTCTCTGATTGCTCTACTGGCTCTTGACGAAACTTTTGAGGTCTTCAAGAAAACTAATGTACTCCTGGTGCTCCAGGGCTGTGCTGAGTTCCACCAACTCATCTGCAAAAGTGTTGTCCACCCCTCGGTCCGCAAGGAAATCCATTAGGTGGTCATACAAGGCCTATAAGGAAACATTTATTAGTTTAAAGAAGTACAACAACAATCAGTAATGCTTACTAATTAAAATGCTGCTTCTTGTCCTTGAACCGAGACCCTCCCCTACAAGGCGTAATTATCCCCCATCCTACCCAGAACTCACCCAGTCCAGGGAATCTGTGTTCAGTGTGTAGTTAGTGTCTTTCCATTCTGACTCGCCAGTGGCCTGAAAGCTGACTTCCTTAATAGAGAAAATGTCACTCTCGGCTTCCTCCTCTTGTCCAATCTGAGAAGAAATAGCATTTAGGAAAACTGAAGGGTTCTCCAGGAAAAGCCAGAATCAGGCAAAGAAAGGCTTTGCAGCCTGAAACTCCCAGGTTCTAACTACCGTCTCTCCTCACCCCCACATCTTTCCCTGCTTTGCTGGTCTAGAAAGTTTCACAAGTATCTACTAAAAGGACCAGAAAGATCCCAGGACACACTCCTTGCCTGGGGGAGTGCCAAGGGACTGTCACTCCAGCTTACATACCTCATCCTCTGGATAGTGACAATCTAGTACAAGAGCTTTCTTGCCATCACTCTTTGTAACTTCAACCACAAAATTCGGAGTGGATGTCAGTTCAGGCTGGGGAAAAAAAACAAGTCAGTACAAGTCACTGTTGCAAAGGCATCAGGTAGTTCAGTGATGGCCACCACTATTAGGATATCTAGCCATTTTCATAGTCCTATGCTATGGTGTTCAAATAAGGAGCCCAGGATCTTTAACACAGTATTACAAAGAGTTTTACTTCTGTTAGCACTCTACTTTTAAAAACACATAGGGTTTAATAAGAAATCTGAATTCCTGTTAATGGTACCAGTTAATTGAGATCTAGATTAGTCCCTCAACCTTCCTGGGCCTGTTCTTTCTCCACCGAGACACTGAAAAGACGGCCCAAAGCTCTAAGACACTCTTTCCAGTTTAGTTGTTTCAGGAATCCTTTCTGTATTACAGACCAGGATCAAAGGCTGGCACACTGGTTCTGGTCAAATGGCTATCCCTACTGGCTGAGTAATAGCAGAAGCTTTTCTGATGGTGACCCTGGGAGCAGTCCAAGGTCAGGGAAAATCCACTCAGGGTAGCTAAGACAAGCACACAAGAGCTCTGCTCCCATAGTAGGCCAGAAGACGGCACTGTTCAAACAGACAGTCTGGGGACCCCAGGGCCCTCTCACTAGTTGGCCACTTCCTAAAATGTCTCAAGACAAAGCACCACCTAGATCCAACAAAGAAAACCAGCAACCTAAGAAATGATCTCACCTAACCAAGTGTTAAAATCTCTGAGGCCCTTGGCTTTCCTACCTTGGTTAAATGGTCAGTATTTACTACCAGCTTAAGACCTGTTAGGAACATTCCTTAAGGAGTAAAAGTTTCAGTTCCTTTCCATTAATAGAAAACAGGCCTAACTATGAAGCCTGAGCCGGCTCCTGGCAGTGTATTCAGCCCCTGGGAAAGGAGGGGCCACAAACCCAGGGGCTAACACTGGCCAGAACCTATTGACTCTGTTGCTCTGTAAGTCCACTGTCTTCAAGTATTGAGAAAAAATTAAAAGAAAAAAGAACCAGTTGTTCTTGCCTGTTAGAACTGATGGAAAGTCTGGTTAACAGCACAGGCTTACCTCCTGTTCTTCAGCCTTCTGCCCTTGTGAGGGCTCTTCCTCACCATCAAATGTTGGTGGGATGCTATTGTTAATGTTGAAAGTGACAGTAATCCTAGAAAGGCAAATGAAGACACAATAGCAAGGTATACTTTTAACTGAGTAATAGAACAGGTTAAGTATGGAGGCTTATTGAAACAATGTCTCTATCCTAGGTGGCTGTACATCTTATCTGTAGAACTCTAAAACAGGCAAATTACCTACATGTGCCAATGGCTCAAAGTTAAATTACTAGGCCCTGGCTGGGGGGGTGTGGTTCAATGGTAGAACACTTGCCTGCTATGTATGAAACCCTGGGTTCTGTCCCAAGCACAAGGAGTGGGGTGGTAGAATTAGCAAGGCCTGTTATCTCAACCAAACCCAGTCATACCTGGGCTACTTCCATCAGGCAAGCATCCCAGGGCCCAATGCCACATGTCCACTGGCCATCTCATAATACTGCCTGCCCTAGTCTTTCCAGGTATCCACTGGAGATGAGCAGCTGAGAAGCTGATGAGATGGAACAGAAGTCCCTTCAAAAACTTCCCCATCCCAAAATCTGCCCCTGAGAAGGTGGCATCACAATAAATGCTGCAGTATCAATTCATTCTTCACAATCACAAAACAGGCCAGAAACATCAACTAATAACTTTAAGAGTTAAGAATCCTGACCTGGCAAATCATGTTTGGGTCAAAATTCCTGTGATAAAGAGATCTGAAACGAAGTGCTGGGCTACTCCGGCAGGTCCCACCCCATATAAGAGTACATTAAATGCTGCTCCCTGGATTCATACTGACTGGTTGCCTTACCATGAAGCTGCTTTCCTATAAGAATGGCAATTTGAGGTTCTGCCACAAATCTCTGATCTGTAACACTGCTGATCAAGCTGAATTCCAGGGCATGGAAATGCAGTATGTTCACCAGAGCATTATTTATAATGGCCCCAAACTGGTCATGAAAACCCTACGCAAATGACTTATAATCCCAGTGACTCAGGGGGCTGAGGATGGAGAATCATAAGTTTGATCAACTCGGCAAGACCCTATCTTAAACAAAAAGGGCTGGAGGGGTGCTGGTGTTGTAGCTCAGAGAAAGAACACTTGCCTAGCATGTATGAGGCACTGGATTCAATCCTTAGCACCACATAAAAATAAAGAAAATAAAGGTATTATGTCCACCTACAGCTAAAAATATCTAAAAAAAAAAAAAAAAAAAAGGATGTAGCTCAGTGGTAGAATGCCCCAGGTGTAGTCACCAGTAGGTGAAGTTAAGAATATACAACTGACATATGCACGGAGAAAAAAAACACTATACCATAGGCAAAAATGAATCAGAGTCCTACTTCACACCACACAGAAAAGTTAATGCAAAATGGATCATAGACCTAAACATAAGAGCTAAAACTCTAAAACTTTTAAGAGAAAAAACAAGCATAAATCTCCACAACCTGGCCCTGGTTTCCTAAAGATGAAACTAATAATACAAGTGACAAAAGGAAATAAACCCTTTTTGGCTGGAAGCGTAGTTCAGTGGCAAAGCACTTGCATCGAAGGCACAAGGCCCTGGTTCAACTCCTACTACTGGGGGGGGAAAATAAAGACAAAATTTTAAACTTTTTCTGGGGGAGGGGCACTTGGTGATAGAACAAGTGCTTACATATGTGAGGCCCTGTATTCACTCCCCAGCACCACAAAAATAAAGAGAAGCAGAAGCCAGAAATAAATTTAGGGAGGGCACAGCATCCCTAACAATCAGCCCAGAGCAGATTTGTGTTCAGTGAATAAGCAACCTCAAGCTCATAAGGTCCAACAAATCCTCTCTTGAAAACCATGTTAACAAAGTACTGGGCCTAATCCAAGGCTCTGTTGGGGATTGTTCAGGACAGGTCCTGCAAGGTCATGGATTTGATCACTTGGAGTCCCCAGTCCCTAGAACAATACTTACTTTTCCCCAGCAACTTTCCGCACTAATTTAGCTTCTGTCCCGTTCACTTCCAGGTCCCAACCACCAGACATCTTGGGAAGGGACTTATGCTTCTGGATTTTCTTTTCTTCCTTGATTTCATCCGTCAGGAATTCTACAAAAGCTTTGTCTCCTAGAAAGGAAATACAGATGATTCAAAAATAGAAAAGTCAATTAGTTTAAATAACACCACAAAGCCTGAGTTTCATATTTTCAACCACGACTTTGGGCCTTCCCAAAGTTCCATTTTCAAGAGACTAAGGATAACGGGGCGTGGTGGCATACGCCCAGCAGGATGATCTAAGTTTGAGGTCAGCCTCAGCAACTCTGCGAGACTGTCTCAAAACAAAAAGTGAAAAGGACTGAGGATGTGATGAGGACTTAACACGGTGGTAAAGCGCCCCAGGGTATGAAAAATTTAAAAAAAAGGAAGAATGAGACTAAGAGAAACTAAAGATAAAAGTATCCTCCAGTATTTAATATTATTTCCACTTCAACACAAAAACAAAATCACGAAACCCTTGGTGAATGGGGGAGGAGGGTGCGATCACAAGTTCAACCCGTTGGTCGTCAACCAACGGGAAAGTGTCCCGGCCCCGCGTGTCTGTTCAGGGGAGTTCTCTCCGTGCTGCTCTCTCCCTCCCGGGCTCCCACGACCATGCCCGGGTGCGCGAACCTCACCTTCCGTGTGCAGCGCGCCGCAGCCGCAGCCGCAGCCGCAGGGCGCGGGAGGCTGCAGGAGGCCGGGCCGCCGCTCCGACCCGGCTCGCACGCAGAGCAGTCCGAAGGGCCGGACGCACGGCCGCGGCGCCGGCTGCAGCAGTTGCCGGAGAGGAGGGGCGGGCGTAACGGTGCGGAGGCCGGCGACGGCGGCGCCCAAGGCTCGGGGAACACAGCGCAGCAGAGGCAGCATCCCGAGAGACTTAGCAGACACGTGCGAGAGCAAAGGACAACCCCGGCCAAGGCCCCCGTGACCTAACGCGGCGCCGGAAGCCCCGCCCTCTCCCGGGAGTGTTTCCGACTTCTGCGCCCTGAAGACCGA